TAAAATAGTCTTTGAACGCACTTAACGGATCTGGGGCTACACCATCACATATTTGTCTTAATTTGGTAAAACCGGTGTCTTTATTTAACACACTTGCGAACTTTTCTTTAACGCGCTCATATGTTGCGTCACCTATAGCGTGTAGCAGTAGATTTACTTCGACCACTATTTGCAGTGACTCCGCTAACGACAACGCACTGTTTTTTAATTTTTTTTATGCTTTCATGTAATGGTTTATAGTTCTTCGCAATATTTTTTAAAGCTGTTTCAACGGAAAATATCTTCGAAATTTGTCTGGCTTTCCTTAATAGCTGCAGCCTCATCTGGATTGAATTGTAGTATCACAGCTTTTATTTGTTGGAAATATTCAGCATAATAAAAAGATATCTGTAACCATGTTCCCCAACGTGTAAGAATGGGCTATGGTCGTTCAGGAATACCTGGACACTTGGTATGAAGTGCACGGAGACGTTTAAGAGATTTAAGAAACACTTTTTTTGTATTTGCTATTAAGGCATCCACCTCTAGAAAACCTTTTCGAATAGTTTCTGCCACAAGATGTAAAGCATGCACTTTATACATAACATGTATAAACGTACAACCTTGTTCTTGCAAAGAACGGCCTACTGAACGCATTGTCACGGCGCCATCAATCAGAAACATCAACACTTGACTTTTTGACAGTTAAAATTTTTCTAACGTCTCCAGCACCATCCTGATAATTGTTTCTCTAGTACACTGACTTAGTCTTTTGCTAGCTAGTAACAGTGGAACTGTTGGTTTAAGAGGGTCCAATACACTATAACATTTCAAATAGAATTTTTTTTACAATCTGTTGTCTTATCAACAGATAACCACAGCCGTGTATTTTTTAATTCACATTTCATCTTATTGCGACTTGGTAACTTTACTTGAGGATTGTATTTATTCCAGAACTATCGAAATAGTTGTTTATCGAATATGTGCAGCGGAACATCACAGGCAATCAGCATTAATAGTAAATCAAACATAAACTGTGTTGTCGAAGGCACGCCACTTTTTTTATTTGTATGGTGTACACTGTTTGCGTGAAGTCCACAATCACACTTATTCCAGCACATCAAATCTTAATCTCACACTTTACAAATTATTTTAGCACCATCATAGAATAAATCCGGGAATTCACCTATGAATTTGTTCACTTTGTCAGCAAATGGCCGTTTTCTACCCCTGCGAACGTCTGCCATGCTTTATTATTAAATTAATATCAACAATACAGTACAACAAATAAAATAAAAACACAAAAACAATATGCAATACGCCCAAGTGACTTAACGTGTACACAACTCGAAAGCTAATAATAGACTGGACTGAAGAAAGAGTTTCGCGGTCAAGGTGAATGTCGGCGACAGTAAGTACATCTGTACTCCACGACCATGATACATATAAACGATTTGCAGCTTTAATAATCAGAATACGTTGAAATATATAGCTTCATTTAAAAATTATAAATGGATGACACTTCCAGTAAAACCGGAAGTGGTAATGATAATATATGTTCATTAAAATCTCATGATCTCGTTTACACTCGGTATATAAAAAAATAATAATACGAAATACAATACAATACGATCTTGATATTAATATACCTAATACTTATATTAAATTTAAATTCTTTATTGGAACTAAACTGGTTAAGATGGTTATTTAATTTGTTACAGCTACTGCATATTGTAGATGGAGGTGGAAATTTGTTTTAGCCCTAAACAGATAAAATAAAGGGTCATGTCTAGATGTTAATTCAGGAACATGAAAACTTTAACATTAAACAGCAATAATATAACAAAACAGTCGAAAAATTAATTCAGATATGGGTCATTCTTTTACAAACCGCACACTAAAAAATACTTGACATTTTAGATTCGTCTGAAATTTTTTTTACAGCTTCTATACGTAAAATTAATTGACACATTTCAGGATTTTGGCTTAAATAAATTTTTTTTCGAAAATGTCCATTTATGAAGTTTTGGTATTTTGCTGGATTTTCTCCAATCGTCTCATACATGAAATTTATTATCTCCAGTTGTACTGATCGGATCAATGTCATTTTTTTACAGTTTACGTGTTGTTACGTTAGCTTTCTAAAAGCATAAAAAATAGTTTTTCAATGTCAACATATCGAAAATAATAACAATGTAATTGTTTAAATAATTGTTAGATGCTGTTGCCCCAGGTTTAGTTAATTTTAAAAAATACCACTTCATTCTTCATCATGTTCCTTAGAAAATGGCATCGGTGAAAAAGTGGTATCTCTATGAGGTCAAAAGTTATTAAATATTTTCGAGCGCTTGTCAGGAGTCGCCGCCGTGCCGGGCGTAGCGCGTGGAACGTGCAATCAAGCTCCCTTCAGTTTTAAATATATGTAAATGTTTTCATTCTGTTGTTCGACAACGTCGTATATGCATGCCATATTATTACTATCATAATTTAATCTAAAATTAGCGATAATCATAAAGTGTCGGTACAATGCCGAAAGCATCAAAATCGTCGATTGGTCCGAAAATCAAAGTAGATCGATGCTTCAATCCCTTCGATATGTCTTCACATCGTAAAAGAGAAAATCTAAGACCAGTTTCGAAGTAACATTTAGTGCCTCTTAACTTACCGGTGACGGATGAGTTCCTTCAGCGAAAAATCTGTAATACTTGCCGTGTTAAATTGTTTCAATTACGCAAGAATCGCGAAAATAAGTTCGAATCAACTGTAAGTAATATTTTGGAAGCAAATTTCTTTAATAAAATTTCATTCATTATATGAGACAAGGTCTAAAATATCCTAAAATTATAAAATAAATTGTTAAGCTTCAGGTTAACTGATGTATGTAAAAATTACATTGTTTTTAGAAGGAGGAAATTAATGATTCTGATTTTGACGCTTTGGAAAGTAATGACGTTAACTGGAAACGTTCTCCTGAAAGTCACGGTGTATCTTTTGAAGAAGACAAAGTGACAGTATCTGCAGTAATTGATTCTATCAACCAGGGTTGATAGCAATTGAAGTTAAAATTATGAAATAAAATGTATAAAATGTGCAAAAAAAACATTTTGTATACTACTAAGAAGCTAATGAATCAAAGTGAGTAAATTTAGTTTTTTTACTTTTATTTTCTCACGTCGTGATATTCAATATTAATTTAGTAACCGGGAAGTAACTATAATGTTCTTTTTATTATTTATATTAATTTTTATACATTAATGTTATCAACAAATATTTTCAAACTATTACGCAATACGGTAAACATTCATTAATATGAAATCGGTGCAAATGCCTGAGACCTCTGAGGTGCGCGGAGCGCGCCGCCTGACAAGCGCTCGAAAATATTTAATAACTTTTGATCTAATAGAGATACCACTTTTTCACCGATGCCATTTTCTAAGGAACATGATTTAGAATTTAGTGGTATTTTTTAAAATTAACTAAACCTGGGGCAACAGCATCTAACAATTATTTAAACAATTAAATTGTTATTATTTTTGATATGTTGACATTAAAAAAAATTTTTTTTAATTTTTTTTAGAAAGCTAACGTAACAACACGTAAACTGTAAGAAAATGACATCAATCCGATCAGTACAACTGGAGATAATAAATTTCATGTATGAGACGATTGGAGAAAATCCAGCAAAATACCAAAACTTCATAAATGGATATTTTCGGAAAAAAAATTTTTTAAGCAAAATCCTGAAATACGTGTCAATTAATTTTACGTATAGAAGCTATAAAAGAAATTTCAGACGAATCTAAAATGTCAAGTTTTTTTTTTTTGAAATCCTTGCGATTTGTAAAAGAATGACCCATATACAGCTTGACAAACTTATGCTGGCATTTGACCTTTTTATGCACCATAGCAAGAGGACGTATAGAGTGGGAACCGTCGCGTCAGTCGATTTTGATTTGCCTTGCATGAACATTTATACACTTTGATAAAAAGTTGCAATTACTCATTGGAGATTTGGTGCATTCGTTTTATGTTCAAGTGATTCACTTGATTTATTAATAATTTACCACGTTTAAGAGCAAAATAAAAGAAAGAGTACTGAAAGGCTAGAGCCGCAAGTTTATTAATTCTGTGTTAAAATTTATGACAGAAGAAGCTGCTCCAGAAACTTTTAAAAAAATATGTTTATATGCCCGAAAAATAATGTTTGCAAAACTATTCAGCTATAACAATCCGATAATAAGAGGGACAATTTTAATAAATTTATTTACTTCTTTGTAAAATTAGGAATAACATTTCCCAAATGGATTTTTGGTATTAAGGCAAAACTACCTTTTTAACAAGCCTATGTTTTGATACAATTATTTTAATATCTTCCTCAATTATTACCTATTAGTTTTCCGTGTTTGACATAAATATTAAAATACCTGGAAAAGTAGGATTTTTTTCGTAATTTTACAGGGATAATTTTATTTGGATATGAAAAAAGCTCTCTTTCTCACAAAATTCTTTAATGATGCTACCGGTTTTGTGAATTAATGTTTGTTTCACATCATCAGGCAAAACCGGCAGCATCAATAAGGAATTTTATGAAAAAGAGACCTTTTTTTCATTTTTTAATATGAACGTCTCACATTGACCTTTCAACGATATATTTTTTTTTTATTGTCTTCAGGACTAAAATAAAGAAATTTACTTAAAAATTGTTACGTAGATGGAAATAAATTCTTACCTTAATTTAAAATTGACATCATTTTCAAAAAAGAGCACAAAAATATTAAAAAAAAATATTAACAAACGCTTAAATAATCATCATCAAATTAGACACTGTAAACAAACACTGCAGATTAATACATTTATCAATATAAAAATTCATATTACATGAATGACATTTTCTAATAAAACATATATTTATCATTCTGTACGAACAACAATTAAGTATTTTTTAAAAACAAAGTTTCCATTTAATTAACCGCCTATAATGAGTTATTCAAAAACTTTCTCATTCGATTATGTGTTTATGTGGCTTTGTAGTCGAGTGGTGAAGACACTTGCCTCTTATTCTAGAGTCCCGGGTTCGATCCACGGTCGAGGAGCTAGTATTTGTTCTAAACCAGAAATTAATCCTAGCATACGCGGACATTGGGTGTGTGTCCATGGTCTCTAAACGTGTAGCCCACTCCCACATAAGGTACCTTAATATGCCTTCAGAAATACAGGGGTTTGTATTATCTATGGTGTGTTTAATTATACTTCACAAGAACAGCAGTTGTTGGAGTTTTGTCCGCATATCACGTCACTATAACTTTGTAAAGTTGTACTTTTGCGATGCTTAAGTCAAATCACAGAGTACCTATTAAGGGGATCCTCTTGAGGGAATCTTATAGCTGGAAAAATTCCATCCATTTTAAAATAAAGAAATTTGAGGAAATGCCTTTATATTTGCTCTAGGTGAGAATTATAGCATGGACAACAAATAGTTGTATCACATTCTATCCTGGATCTCATATAAAAATCGCAAGGTATTTCAATTGTATTCGTGATATAAAAGTTATGAGTACCTCTTATTATGAAATTCAATGTGTGCTGAAAGAGTTACTAATAATATTGTGGATGAGTGAACGTCAATACCATTTACAATATCATTGATAAAAACATTGAAAGTAGGGAATCAAATATATAACCCTGAAGAAATTTTGACATTGATAGGAATCTCTCATCTCAGTTTCCCAACTTGACCTCTCTTGATTACTTTTTATGGATATTTAAAATCAAAAGTATATGTTAACCGACCAGACAATACGGCAGATATAAAAAATAGCATAACCGAAGAAATTCACGAAATAATCCCTGAGTCATACACAATGTCATCCGAGAAATCTAAGATCGCCTTGCTGAGAGGTGGCTATAAATTTTAAATACATTTTTAATATTATGAGATTCTGCGCTTAATTTTATGTAGGGATGAAGTGAGTACAATTTTGTATTAAAAACTTTAAAAACAACAATAGATCAGTTTCAGTTTATCTTCAAAATCAATAATTTACCAAAAAATACCTCAACTGAATTTACAAGACATTCAGAAAATTTTACATTTTCAAAATTAATTTTCTAAGTAATTAATGCCCCAAATTTAGAAAACTTTATACTGCTGAATAGAGAATCAAAATCCCTTTCGAGTGAGGTGGCGCATGACCCCCTTCCTAATTTAAAATTTTCTGGGGGGTAGTCATAATTCTCAGGGGGTGAACGGTGGGGTATTATTTTTATGCTAAAAAATATCAATTTCAAATTAGAAATCCTTAAAGTTCATAATTACGATTAAAATTAATTGATTCCATACATATTGACCGCACTGTATGTTGTGTTAAGAGGCCTAATCGGGAAAAAGCTTCGGATAGCTGTGTCACTCTCTAGAAAGTTTTTATACATGCGCCGCTGAATAATTTTGCTCTTAACTATACCTTCACTGGACGTTTTATTCACCGACTTCATTGAGGTGCGATTCCCGATAGAGGTAACACTTTCTTGCTCCATTTGTAGTGACAAAGATACTTATTTAGAAAATTCTTTTTAACCAAACAGTACGGAAGAAAAGTTTGAAACTTGCTGAGCATAATTATGAAGATTCATTCTAGACGACATGTATGAATTTTACCTCGAATTTTATCGATTGATATCATAATTCAGGAGCTAATCACGTCCAAATTTCACTTATATTTACATTATAAATTTTCCCTACATAAAGTGAAAATTAATTAAAATAGATATACATGTACCCTCTAGTACACTTTCAACTACTGATCCTCCAAATTTGGTGTAATTTGACCAAACCGTATGGAAGAAATAAATTTTGAAAAATTACCTTACAAACACTGGTTCGATTAGCCCTCTTAAGCAAAATAGATTTGTCGCGGTTGATCTTATTTTTATAAAACCCCTCTGAAATCATTAATCTGATTCTCCGTAGGATTGAAGATTGGTCCATGAAATAAAATTTCAAAAGTTTTTGAGAGACTTATTGATAATAGTACCAATGGGACCACATTGTTTTTTAAACGTTAATTAGCGTTTGCGTAACGTTAGTTAACGTTATATAAACGTTTGAATAACAATGTGTTCCCGTTGGGGTGATTTGACGTAATTTTGAATATCCTGCTTACCACCCTTTTTGAACTTTTTCCATTTTTATGATAATTAAAAATAAACAAAAACATATTTCTTTTAATAATTGGGGTATGAATCAATGAAGGATAAATTTTTTTAACAGAAGAGAAAATACGTACACAAAATGTTGACCATTTTGAGACTAGTACATAAAAGTGTTTCGATCAAAAATATTGCACGCTGAATGAACAAAAAAAAAGAAAAATGAAACATTTCAACTAAACATTATATCTATTCTCGTGGTAAATGATTTCGCACTTGCTTAAAAATATTAGAAATGAAAAACTTCTTTTCTATTTGGTTTAATGTCAACGAAAAAATAATTAGCAATTACAACTAAAAAAAATTACTAATCAAATTAAAATCTCTAACCTAAGAAGTTTAACAAAGGTTTTAAAAGGATCGTTTCAACAGAATATTAAATGGGGTTCTTTTAAATAATGTTATAACTACCATAAAATACTATTTTCATAAATACCTTAACATTGTTATTGTCTGTAAAAATTGTATCAGAAAACTTGACAGGTTCTTACAGCTTAATAACAAACAACCTTAACCTTTGGAAAATTGAAATCAGTTTTCCTCGTCCTTTAACCTTTCTATTATTGCGTGAAAACTTAGGTCATTTATCAAGGTCCTAATTCTATAGATAATACACAAAGGAAGTTTATTTACCTGGAAGACGCTTTGTGCGTACAATAAATTCCCAAAGTTGAGTAAGTGACAATTTACCATCGTTTTGAACGGAAACTATACGGCTCTTCTCAAAAAGATCGTCATTTCCTGGTGCAGTTTTATACTCTATCATACTAACGTTACGTATAAAAGTAGTCGGAAGTAAGCAAAATGTGCGTGAGAGTTGGTATGGGGTAGGACAACATCACCTGCCCGCTCTAGTAGATTCGCCGGCGTTACACGCGCTACTGAAAGTATATGTGAAAGTTGTAGCAAATCAGGCGCACTCAAGCACCACGGCGCTACTTATAATAACGTATTTTATTGATTATAATAACTACACAATTTTTATTCATGAAATTTGTCACGGGAATGTACGGCCAAACTAAGTAGTGGTAAATGCCACAAGGTTCTTGGATAAATTCTGGAAGCGGCACTTTCGCTTGACTTACTAGAACTTATAGTAGGTTTTAGTTGCGTAAAAATTGCCACCTTTACACGAAATCGGTTTTTTAATGTCAGCATAATTATGCTTCTCAGTAAAACTAGGTAAGTGGAAGTGCTTATCAGTTGTTTTTTAGGGGTATGATATATGGTGCAAAAAATACTACCTACTAGTACTATTTTAGTTAGACGCACTAAAATAACAACAGTGACAATGTCAGTAGATATATTTATTATTAAAAAAACAACAGTAGTAATAGTTTCCGTAACTTTCCCACTATATCATAACCTCTTGCTTGGTTTCTTTGGTTGCTTACCTATATAATAAATTACTATTTACGTTGTATATAAATAAATAAATAAATAAATATATATATATATATATATATATATATATATATATATATATATATATATATATATATATATATATATATATATATATATATAGGAAAAAAGGATAATGGGTATTGCCCGCAAAAAAAGGATGAATCCGTCGACACGTGTTTCTGAGTCATTACTCGTAATCATGACGGCTATAAGTTGTGAGGATAGGTACAACTTAGGTTCAACAACACAAAAGGAAACCACTGACAGGAAGCTAGTCGCACATTTGTGGCTGCAATTGAAAGACCCCGTGTTTACAGGGCAACAGACAATATTGCCACGGAGGCAACTATAGCTACCTGCGTGGTATTCCCTACCCAGGATTTAGAGTAACAAAGAATAGAAGGTTACTGCGGGATGAGATGTAATAGGAAAAAAAGAATAATTATTATCGTGTCGACGGATTCATCCCTTTTTTTGCGGGCAACACCCATTATCCTTTTTTTCCTATTACATCTCATCCCGCAGTAACCTTCTATTCTTTATATATATATATATATATATATATATATATATATATATATATATATATATATATATATATATATATATATATATATATATATATATATATTATATATTTGTGTATTTTATTTTTTGGTTTTTTTTTTTTTTATTCTAATGTGAAGCCAGTAGAGGAAGTTGATATTCTGAATTTTATTTAATACGAAGGTATAAGTAATAAATCTGGTTGTACACCGAAACACAATTTCGCCAGGTAAAAATGAAGTTCTTCATTCCGACAACCATACACACCGACCCCGAGACATTCCGTTTCTTCACCGACTTACCCCAGCTTCATACCGCTGATAGAATAAAGTGGTGTTCCTACACTTCCTACAGGAACTGACGCTCGAGACCGTACCGCAATAAAAGTTCAAAATACCGCTGGTGTACTGAAAGATACCAAAGTGACACATTACAACAACAAAGAAATAACATTTTGTTTTATATACTTCACACATTGTCCAATGAATATTGAGAAGTTTTATGATCCAGGAATTTATAGTAAAACATCAAGCGTGTAACAATTTCCTTTGATGCATTGTTAACCAGTGTAGTTGCAAAGTCCTACTAGATGTTGACACATATCATTTTATTCCATAAGCAAATCTAATGCAGGAATTTTGCACACGTTTTATATGTATTTCGTCATTTTTTTGTTAAGCAGTAATGGTAAACTATATCTACAATATTAAAAGACTAAGAATCCGTGCATTATACAGTATTGTCTTTTTATTTTTATCTAAAACTTCAGAACATCCGTACGACAGTTTTAAAGTGGAATAATTTTTTTTTGTGGAATTAGTTACATGCTGTGAGAATCATACCGAGCCAACATAAAGGCCTAAATTAGGACTTACAACTGCAATTTCTAATTTTCGTGAATTTAGTTCAACACTTAATTTGTCAATTGGTAATTCCG